CTGGAAGCCCTGCCCTCTAGTCTATATGGAGGGGACAGTAGTTAGAGATTCTGTATGTGAACAGACAGTATTTTATTTATTTACTAGCTTTTTGAAGTTATATTCTGCCCTCCCCACAAGAGGGCTCAGGGCAGAACACAGGGCCATTCGGCATCACAATATAACTACATTAGTAAACAAGTTAAGAACAGTTAAGAACAACAATTTAAAACAAATTGTCCTGTTTGCTTGTGCGCACAATCTCCAGAGCTGGTGCCACTGGGTCTCTAAGACCTGCTTGACCTGGCCCACATAGAGATGGTGAACTTCAGCAGGGGAGGTATGCAACCCAGTCCAAGGCTTAGCTTTGGAGGCTAACGCCTGGTTCAAACTGAGATCACTCTCAAAGTAGGGCTTGATGGCAGAAAGAAGGAATGGCCAATGAAGCATTTATTTAGCATGATATCCATGATAGATCCTATTGCCGTTACAGAATGAGGGGCATCAGCATGCCTCTTCTTCAAACAGAGCCACTCAAAGCAATGGGATGAAATAAAAAAAGTGTGTTATAACACAAATACACCTTGGAGACCATTTTGATCGATTGTCCCTCAGTGCATGTAGACTACGACAGTGCCTTCTTTGTACTGAACAGGGGGCGGGTGGCTTAGTAACCCTTGGGTGTGACATCATAGCAGCAGAGGATGTTTGGAAAGAATTGTGATTTAAAGCAGAGCCGCATGATCTGGAAGGAGCCAACCAAGCAAAAGATGCAGTCTTTGAATGGAGGTGAATCTACGGATTGATACCAATTGGTCGATAAATGTGTTGCAATGCCTCCCCATGTAGCCATACACTAAAATCGTAATAATGGTTGTGTTTTGTAAGTGAGCAAGTGGAATGATTCTCGCCTGTAGAAGGGAAATATAGGTTTTCTATATGGTCACTCAAATTAAGTCCATACAGGTGAGGTGCTGCACAAATACTATTGCACCATGATGGCAAAAAGTCTTTAAAGCAATCTTGACCCATTATAAACAATGGGACTTTCATTGCATTTTCCTCATATCAACGCTAAATGGTGTGCAGCAAAATCTAGAAAGTCAACTGGTTGATGTTGGAAAGAATAAGAAATGGCCAATGAGGCATTTGTTTAGCATTAAATCAATGCATTCTGTGTAGTCTTTGTAGTAACCAAACATGTGATCTTGGAAGTGGGCATGGTATTACCTATGAGACACCTTGGGCAATTGTCCAGGGGGATGATGGCAAGTGAGAGTAAGAGAAAACCGTGGTGGGAAATAAAATCAAAGCCTAAACTGTGACATATTTTTGAAGGAACATGCATTATGGAAATGGAGAGCTTTATTCAAGTTCCAAGTGGGTTGGGTGAGACTAAAGAACATTGGGAGGGGGGGGCATCCTTCCCTTTTGCCCAGGGCCTCAGAATAAGTTTTCTGAGCATCATGACTGATGTAGTTCCAGTTGCCTTATTTTAGTTTATTACATCCCTTGGAAAAAGATGAGATTGCAATCCTGTGCTCCCTTTCCTGGGAGTGAGCCTCATTGCCTATAATGTAACTTGCCTTTGAGTAAATGTGCAGTGGCTTCCCGTTTCAAAACACTTAAAGGATAAAGAATCACCTTTTCCATAAAGCTGGGTTTCCTTTACATTTTCTTTTTTTAGTATTCCATTTACTCTGTCCCCCATGCGCGGTGGTCTCCAGGGACAAGCCTCCCTTAATTTCCACAATGGAACTAAGCTGTGAGGCTTCGAATCCTCCTCTGCTTTATTTCCTGTACCTTCAGAGGTTTAATCTCTTGATTCCATTAACAGGACTAGCCTACTTTACAGGCTTGTTGTTAAGTATTACTGGGCGAATGTATGACAAACTTTGAACACTTCAAACAAGCTATTTAAATGCCAAGTATTATCATATCCTTTGCAAATTAGCAAAAATGATATTTCTAAAGGTGACAGAAGCATTACACAAATACCATTCCTGAATCTGAAAGAGCACTATTTTATGATCAGAGAGCTGTAAGCCGTTGTCATCCATGTGACTCGTTCTTGCAAGCTAGGCTTCTGTTGTCTCCATAATGGACCAAGGTGGCAGTTCTACACATTCTTGGAAGCAAGTCCATTGAACACTCTGCTATTTATTCCTGGGTAAGACTAAAAATCATCCCATTCCATTCATTCTGTAAGATCATAATTTAACTTCATTGCTCCCATTGCACCAGGTGTGTTTAAAACATATCCCTAGCCATGGTATGACTTTCATTCTCACTGATGTAGTCTTATTATCTAAAGATCTAATTATACCAGGCGTGTAGAAGGATTTTTTAAAAAATGTAGTAACTAGTAATGGGCAATAGCCATTATTTTACAGCATTATGATATTAGCAGAACAATTACGGCTGAAGAGAGAGATTTTAGTGCAAGGCATACTCTTTCCTTCCTTAACTAATGGCATTCAAACATAAAAGTCATGTTCCTGAAATTCATTAGTAGATTTGTTTTAACTTTTCGCATCAGAGGTTCTTACTAATCATCACAGTAGCAATCATCCCCCCCCCCTTTTTGGGGGGAAAAGCTTCTACAAGCTGGTACAAACAATTAAAGTACTTACTAAAGTACCCCCCCCAGCATGGGAAAAGCTTCTACAAGCTGGTACAAACAATTAAAGTACTTACTAAAGTACCCCCCCTCCCAGCATGTGGTATTGTATTGTTTTATAGTTGTTGGGTATTACAAGTTGAAAACGTTCAGTATATCTGGGGTTAAATGTTGTTTATGTTACTCACAGGAAGTCACATGTTTTTCATGTAACCAATGTTCTTTAGCTGTAAAATACCCGGGAATTTTCTCCCTGATCTAGGAATTTGATTGGGACTAAAGTGTCAAGGTATATTACCATTTTATGGCTTCTCTTCCTGTTTTTGTTTTGGTGATCTGAAGAACAAGAAGAGTAGCCATACTCTCTCTCCTCTTCTAATTTTGTCTTTGTAGAGTAAGGATGTAGCTGATTATGCTCTGTTGTTATTTTCATCCCAGTTACCCTTCCCATGCTAGAATTTAGTAAAAACTTTATATTTTAATCACACATGGATTCTGAGTCTGAATTATTTTACTCAGGCACTGCTGGGCTATCCTATCTCTGCTAAATACCATTTTTTCAATATCTCACTATAACCCAACAGATAGCTAAGCAGAGTGCAGCAGCCAAACTTTGAGTCAAGAAAAATCATGTGTGCTGGAGTTTTCTAAAACAGAATTTTTGTCTTAACTCGCATTGGATTTATGAGATTCAGACAACATCCTGTTTTCTTCATGAACTTGTGGGACCAGACTAGACGCCTGTGTTTCCAAGTTGGAGAAAGCCTGTACTGTTTGATCTCAGTTCGTCTTCTTCCGTGCCGAGTGAAAGAAAGAAGGAAAGGGGGTGAGATTGATCCTGGCCGTTTCTACTGAAAAGCTTAATCCCGTGGTCACAAAAGATCGCCCGTTGCCCTCATCACTCTCAAGTTTCGGTAACGTATTAAAAAGGAGAAATCATTATGTCTGCAGCTAAGAATCTTGCTTTTTTCAATATGCCCACCTTAGACTCAACTAATTTCTCTTGGTGGAAGATATCAGTAAAGAATGCCCTTCAAGCTCATGGGGCTCTTTCTGTGCTCACTGACGATCCTCCTGAAGCAGCTGGGGCCGCTCTTGAAAAGTACAGAGGGCATGATGGATTTGGGATGTCTTTAATTATTGGCACTATTAATGCTACAGATAATCAGGAACTTTTAGAGTGCACATCCACGAAACAAGTGATGTTGAAGCTTGAGCAAACTTATGCT